GACTGACCCATAATTACTCAGAAAGTTCTATTGTTCACCATGTTATTTAGGAATTGAAATCATGTTCTCCAGGGGAATACTAGTAAAAACTTGTACAGCAGACCATCTCTCTTTACAGTGTCATAAGAAGCAGTCCAATTGACAAAAACTGCTTATGTCTTCAGACATTTCTGATACCCTGCTAAATGGAAGTTGTTAAGCTGAGAACCTGGTCTTTACAACTATGATGGGTTCTAAATCCTGCTTGCTCTATTGGGACATATTTGTTAATTCTATATGTTTGTTAATTCTATCACCGATTCTGTTCAGGATTAGTTTCTCAAGGAGTTTATAACAGGATCTCAGAAGGGAAATAGGTCTGTAATTTTCCACCAGATGTTTTGGTTTTTGGGGTTTCAGAATAGCAACTATCTTTGCTTTCTTGAATTCCCCTGGGAGTCTTCCTGTTGTCATGATGTCAGTGAGAAACTTTGCAAGCCACTTCTTAGTGAACTTGGCGCTGTTAATCTCTATCCTTCGGAGCTCTGGACAGGGATACCAGTTGGGCAGCTACTTGGTTTGATGTTACCTCTGGATTTCCTTGGAGTACAGGTGGGCTTGCACCTAGCTTTTTCAACAGGCTCCAGGCTTTCCAACTGGAATGTCTAAAATCCAAAATCGTAGTTGCTTCAGTCCATTTTTGTCTACACACAGTGTCAAGTTCATGGAGTAGTTCATCTGCTGCTTCTGGGTCTTTGCTGTCGAGGAAATTTTGATACAGACTCTCACTCTGTTCGCTCCAGCCTGGAATATATTCTTTCCAATATCCTCGAGGAATGTGCCTTTTCACTGTAGATATAGAGATTGGCAATGACATCCTTTTAAAGTTCCAGATGTTTGTCAGATGCTTTTGTAGCCATGTTAACATCTATCTGAACAAAATTATATATGAAGTTAATCTATGGTCTATACATGGCCCTAATCCATAGATTTAAGTATCCACAAATTTAGTCAAGTTCAGAATTAGATATATTGATATGGATTTTCCTCTACCTCCTTTAGTCTTCAGTTAATTAATATCCTTTAGTGCTCAACTGGTTAAAATCTATCTGTCCCATACACAAATAGTGAATTTGTCTGGATGGGATTCTAATACCCATGGGAGAGTACACACATTAATACAGCATTTTTCTTAATGTGTATCACTGATTTAAATGCACAGACATATTCGCAGGACAGGTGATTTCCACCTATAATCATATTAGATGGAAAACAAATGTGTTACAACCTGAAATATGTTTTGCTTTCAATTGCCTGTAAAACTAGGACCTCTTCTCCTATCTATCTGAAATACATTAAAGGACATCCCTTGAGTAATGGCATAATCCAAAATGGACACAAAACAAAGGAATCACAGCTCAAAGTGTATTTCCGTTTCAATTAATGAAAATCAGAACAAATATGATAATGAAAACAAACTAATATAAGTATAAATATAATGTAAATTGTCAAAGTTTTTGAAATGAAAATGCATACTGAAGTTAAAAACAATGCTCATTCCTATTGGAAGTTCTGTGAAATTCTGGGGAAACATAACTACTTATATTTTCTGAAATTACCTGTTTTGTTTCAATCTGTCCATTTCCGTGGCCCTCATTAGGGGAGTCCAGATCCATTCTCTGAATTTCAGCGTACATTTTTTAAAAAATATATAAAACAAGAAGTGTTGGCAGCATTTTACCTGGTTCTCAGTAAGAAATAAACCCGATTCTGTTTTCCAGGGTTGTTGGGGGGGTTTGGCCAATGGCTGCAAAAGCATTTGACCAACAGTTGGAACTTTTAAAATAGTTTTATTTGAAGCTTTTAGGCTGTATTGAAGATTAGCAATTGTTGAACTATCCTGTGATACTCCACAATACCCTTTGCCCCTCTTACCATATTTTAGGCCATGCTTACTCCCCTGATGCAATATTACTACAGATCTTTTCTGCATTGTCCCCACCTGAAATTCTGTTCACATTTTGGGGGTTCAAATTACCTTTCTTGTTTGAGGAGCAACACCACAGGAATCTGTCAATCTTTGGATTTCTAGACTTTTTAGAAATAGTGGCAAGCAGACGGATTGCTGCTATTTTAATTTCCTTGTATTCATTCTCATCCCTGCTCTTTCTATCTTACCAATAAAGTACATTGCAGAAAGGAATCTTGTTGATGTGGTCAGGTCAGCACCTACATGCTGTGTATCACCAACGGTTGTCAACATTCATAAGGTAGGAGTAGGGAAGACAAGAACCAAAGGCTTAGATCCCACAGAATATTTCCACAGGCAGAGGGACATGCACTCACAGAATGCAATTTTCTCACCTTCCCCCTTCTGCAGCAGCCTAAAATGGCCCCTGAGGCCCCCTGGATCAGGATTTCAGGTTGTTCCATGAGCACATATCCCTCCACCTGCAGAAATTCCCTTTGGGATCTAAGATAAATTAAAGCTGGGGGAAACTACTGCACAGAAAAGGATCTCGTCAGATCTCAGAAGCTAAGCAGGGCCAGTACTTGGATGGGGGACCACCAAGGAAGACTCTGCAGAGGAAGGCAATGGCAAACCACATCTGCTACTCACTGGCCTTGAAAGCCCCTTGCTGTGGTCACCGTAGGTTGGTTGAGTCTTGACAGCATATATGTACATAAACTACTGGATGCATGCTGATATCTGATTTTTTGAGATTCCCATGTTAAACTGGAGGAAAGAAAAGACAAGTGGAACGCTGAGTGGAGTCAGTCCAAGGAACTGCAGGAAAACAGAGCCTGAGAAATGCATTCTGCCCTAACGATTATGTTCTTGTTCCATATTTTTCCCTGAAAGAGAAGGCTTATATGACAGCATAGTGGATTCTTCCTGGTTTTCACTTTGTACTTTTTTAAAAATTACAGGTTTTACCTTACTGAATGGAATATTATGATGGAAATTTGTGACAGGGCAGGCAACCCTTGAGATTTTTTTCAGGAAAAAAATAAAATCTGAGGAGAGTTAGTCAAAATTAAAAATATATATATTAATCTGCTGATTTCTGCTGCATCTTGGGATGACACTCAAGATAACTTTAGTCTTTGATGTGCTTTTCCGTTTCTTTTTTAAGCATGTGGTTTAAATTGATTGGCAATCACAATTCAAAGGGAAAAAACTGCAAACAGAAATATTTGATGGTACATTAAGAGTTGTGTGAGAACCAGAATGGAATCTAATTTTCTGTTATCTTTATTGCTTATTGAACAAAGGAAGTAAATGCTGTTCAGTTACTCAACTTCCACAGACAATTTCTTGATCCTCAGCAGCCCTTAATTATGCCTAAGCACCCTGTGGGAATATGAACCACTCCCGTGAGGCATGCCCAGGACGAGTTCAGGTTCTCACCGGGGGATTGGCAAGCAGTGCACAAAGTGTGCTGAATCTGCATGAGTCTGCTGAATTACTGAGAGCACAAACTTTGCAACATTCGGGCAAGATAGGAGAGTTTTAGCATAAAGAACATTTTATTCTAGTCTGATTCTAGTTAGAGGCTTCTTCATTTTGTAACGTTTTCACTGTACCATGTGTGAGCCTGCTTGATTCTAATAAAGCGCTACTGACAGGCAGTTCAAGGGAGACAGAACAGCTTGGGACAGAGAGAGAACTGAGCTTGGTCAGAAAGCTTCAAGAGATCTGTTGTGTTGTGTCGTTATTGAACCCTAAACCTACAGCACCCCTTAATGCTACATCCTGGATATAAATATTTTGGTCAAACTGGTACTGGACTTAAATAGCTTTCCCCCCATTAAATATAATGTTTATCATTGCTTTCTTTAAAAAAGTTCACATGGTTGCCTGCCCTGTCTAGGGTTGCCAAACCCCCCAGTTTGCCAGGGGTCCCCTGTTTTGGGGGGGGCTCTACCTGCCACCGGCCAGATGGCCAGTGGGGGAAGCCCCGCCCTCAACACCCACAGCCACCCCTCTCCCTTCTCTCTTGAGAAAGGGGTGGCTGCCTTTAAGTGCATGGAACCCGTGTTTCCTCCCAAGCCCGATCTCCGCTTGAGATCAGGCTTGCAGGGAAATGCCAGCTCGTGCACTTAAAAGGGAAACACCGGCTCCTTTAAGTGCAGGGAACTGGCGTTTCTGGTGATCCAGCGTGCGGGGGGGGGGGTGGCGGACATCCCCAATGTGACATCATCACGTCGGGGATGCCCCGCCCTCTCCAGGAACACCCCCAAAGTCCCCCACTGGGGGTGGAAGATGGACTTGGCAACCCTAGCCCTGTCACATAGAAAACTAAATTTTGAATGACTGGTCTGTGAAAGATTCCTCACATTGCTACTAGAATACAGCTGCTTTATAGTGGCTGCGGGCACACGGGCAGGAAAATGCAGGGGGGGAAGTGTGGCTGTCTATCACGACATTAGAAAAGAGCAAGAGCCCAGTAGTACCTTAAAGACTAGCAAAATATGTGGCAGGGTATGAACTTTTGTGAGTCACTGCTCACTTCCTCAGATTCACGAAAGCTCATACCCTGCCACATATTTTGTTAGTCTTTAAGGTGCTTCTGGACTCTTGCTCTTTTCTAATGTCGTGATAGACAGAACAATTACCTGATTTAGTATGAAGCACCTTCATATGTTGAAAGACATGCCTGCAGTTCTTCAGGTTGTGACTAAAATATGGAGTAATCTATTCCTGATCAGTTATTTTCTGTGTGTAAGAACAAAGGCATACTTGTAATGGCGTCTCACTTTATACGCCTCAAATGAAATGGACACCCATGAAGTCATTCATACATTATGTGTCACATTCATTTTAAATTTCTTAGAGAGTCATGTGAAATGGCCATGATGGCTGTGTGCAGTAAAATGGAAGTATAGTGATATTTTTCTAATCCTGATATATAAATGTTTCTCTTACTGCAGTGCAGCAGCATCTGTGGAGTCAGTAGAAATGTAAGCCGCACATAATAACTTGCCACTGAAACTGTCAACATTTTCTGTTGTTTCAGATGAGAGTCCATATACTAAATCTGCAAACCAGACAAAACCACCTGAAGGAGCATTAGCTGTAAGGAGACAAAGTATTCCAGGTATATTACTATTTTTAGTTTCAAATAACTCTTATCCTACTGTTGTGAGGAAATTGAATTAATTAGGTAACCTTTGTTCTTCTTGTGAAAATCACTTCAAATTGATTGGGCAGGTTAAAGCTGTAACGCTTTCTAATTAACTACAGTACAAGCTGTTACTACAACAACAGTGGCAAAGAAAGGAGAAATAGGTCCTGGAGATCACTCCTGCAGTGACACACGTCATTTTGCACTTTGTATAAGAAGAATGAGTAGTACAAGTGCAAGTTGCTCCTTGTTGATAATGTCCAAATTTTGCAATGGGCACATGCTGTAGAACGTCATATTTGTCTCATTAATTCTACCATGTATCTAGGTATAGAGATGTTTGAGCAGGGAAACACAGTGGCTTGCAGGAGCATCATAAGCAGAGTTACGCTCTTCTATGTCCACTGAAATCTTAGAAGGGTGTAACTCTGCTTAGAATTGCACTGCTAAATACTTAAGATAATTTATGTTTTGTAATTTTTCCATAGTCCTGTAAATCAGATCTAGCCCATGTCTTGCTTCCAAAAGTAGACAGCAATAATCAAAGACTTTATAATGTGACATATGTCGTCATTTGTTGCTATCTTCTGGCTGTAGAGTTTGGCACTGGAAAATGAACTAAAGCTGTCATATCTTGAAAAGTTGTCAGAAATGTGCTCTAAAGACAGACATGTGCAGACTCAAGGCTGGCTTGGTTTTGTTTTGATAGTGAGATGCAGGGCCCCTTAATTAATACTCAGAGATGCCTTGATCTCAGAGAAAGCATTCTTCTCAACCTGTAAGCTTGAAGGAGATGAGTTTCCTTTATGAAGACAGATAGAGGACGCAAGTGGGGTAGGTCCTCTCCCATGCATGCAGACTCCCCCCGCCTCTTGTGGATCATAAAAAGCTGTGTTTGGTTTAAAAGAAATGGGTGTGCCACAATATCTGATTGATCTTCTTCGTGGTCTCTGTGCATCACACCCTTGGGATATACTGCGCCTGCGCTGACCTTCTCGGTACCGGTAGCTAGCAAAAGGGATTTTCGCGCCTCTCCCAGGTCACGCGCCGGCTCCACTGCGCATGACCAAGGAGGGGCACGCAGATCCCGCCAGTTCTTTTCTGACCGCCGCGCTGGTAGGACGCCTTCTGCTTCGGTCTGTTAAGTACCTAACTTTTTGCTAAACTTGCGTTTAGTTAGTTTCCTTTTCTTTATTTTGTTTTTTGTAGTTAGCATTTTTTTCTTCGGTGTGTTTGTTCCTTGTCTTTAACGTTTCCCCCTCCGCTGGCCTATGGCCCCGCGGTGGGGTTGTTTCAAACGGTGTAAGACTTGCGGCCTTAAAATATCTCCCACCGACGGGCATTCGCTTTGCCTCGTCTGTTTAGGGGAGTCGCACTGTGTTTCTAAGTGCGGACATTGCCAGAAATTCTCGAACCAGATGAGAAAAAACAGGGCAGCTCGTCTGCACTTGGCTTTGATGGAGAAGGCGCTATCTCCACAGTCGTCTTCGCCGTTGGACACGTCCGGGCACGCCTCGATGTCCACCCTGGCTGCGGACACTTGTCCTCCCGTTTCGGGACCATCGACGTCGACGGTCGCAATCGATGCTTCGGCACCGAAACGATCGACGCCGATAAAAGACCACCCCGTACCTTCCAAGATCCGGAAGCAGGGGATATCTGATGCCGTACCTTCCAAGATCCGGAAGCAGGGCAAAGACTCACAGCAGTCGAAGAAACCTAAAACGGACAAGTCGAAAGTCCATAAGGTTTCAGCTAGTCAAGGTCGAGATCTCACGCAAGAACCTCATCACCTGATTGGTTCAGATCTCGACATCGACCTTACTCAGCAGACAAATCAGTCGCAATCTGATATGTCGAGTCGTCAATCCTCTCATGCTTCCCCGGAACGTGGAGTCGATGATCGACACCGACCGGCATCCCCTACTTTAACCTGGGATGAGAGACAGTGGCATTACTTGTATGGAAGCCGATACCCATACCCATGGGCTTTTCCTCCACCACCTCCACCTGACTGGGATCGTCAATCGGTGTCATCCCGCATCTCGCAGTTTCGGGATCGATCCTCGGCATCGAAGCAGTCCATGCCGATACATCCACCAGACCCGGCTGCACCCCCGGTCAACATGCCGACAACGCATCAACCGGAATTACCCGGATCATCCCCGGAACCATCCAATGTATCCTCCGATTCAGACGACTCCTCTGAACATATAGAGGACGTGAACATACAATCCACCCCACAGGATGTGGAAGCGGATCTGCCTATTTCTCCATCAGAGGATGTTAAGTCATATGGAGACTTTGTTCAACGTATGGCGTTGGACCTGTCTATGACTCCTACTCTCGTTGCCAGTTTCGTGGATGACAATGTTTTTGACATTATGCATTCCAACACTTCGCCTTCTGTGGCTCTTCCAATGACAAAAGTCCTCTTACAAACTACTAAGGACTTTTGGACCCATCCAGCCTCCATTACTGTATCCAATAAACGTCTGGATCACATGTACAAGATCCAAGAATCTGGGGCTGAGTTTCTATACACGCATCCTAAACCCAATTCTTTGGTCGTATCGTCGTCCACAAAAGGAAAATCGAGTCACTCAACGCCATCAGATAAGGAAGGAAAGAAGTTGGACTCGGTGGGCAGAAAATTTTACACTGTCGGTGCAATGGGCATTAAAACGGCAAATTATGCAGCCTGCATGGGCCGCTATCAGTTCAATTTGTGGAAACGCTTAAACGACTTCCTTCCACATGTACCAAAGGAATGTCAGCCTCAGATTAAGAGGCTTCAAAATGAAGGGATGGTACTGGCTAGACATCAAATTAGTGCTGCCAAGCATTCCTTGGAATCTGCTAGCAAGACTCTAGCAACTTCCGTAGCCCTACGCAGACATGCCTGGCTCCGTTCCTCCTCATTGCCATATGATACCAGATCGTCGGTGGAGGACCTTCCTTTTGAAGGCTCTGGACTGTTTAGTTCCACCACTGATACGGTATTACAGGAAATGGATAAGAGTATCAAGACGTCTAAAAGTCTGGGAATCTCTCCCCCAACTAAATACCCTAAGACCAAGCAATGGCCTAGACAATCTTGGTCTTCTAGACAACCGTACAACAAATCGCCTACGGATCAATGGCAAAGACCTCCCTCTTCTCAGTCAAGGTCTTTTCCCCCTAAGAATAAAGGACAATCATCGGGTGCCTATAAGTCGAAGTTTCCCAAGAATCCCAAACAGGGGCTTTGACTTCAGCCTTACTGCTCATACTCGCCTCGCTCCCTTTCTTCACGCATGGCTGGACATTTCTACAGACAAATGGGTTCACTCTATAATAAGAGATGGCTATCTCATAGAGTTTTCTCAAATCCCCACAATTTCCCATTTCGTCGGAACTCCAACGTCACCTGTCCTGATGCAAGAAGTACGATCTCTGTCACTGAAAAACGCTATAGAGATAGTCCCGGCGGCAGATCGTTGCCACGGGATTTATTCCAGATATTTCACGGTCCCCAAGAAGGACGGAGGACTTCGTCCAATTATGGATCTAAGATTTCTCAATCGATTCATTGTTTACAAAAAGTTTCGTATGACCACTTTGCAAAGTATTTTACCACTCCTGCCTCCAGGGACATGGATGGTCACTTTAGATCTCAAAGACGCTTATTTTCACGTCTCCATCCATCCTCGTCACAGAAAATTCCTCAGATTCACGGTCGGAGAGGACCATTATCAATTCAAAGCCCTCCCCTTCGGGCTCTCTACCGCCCCCAGGGTTTTCACGAAGGTAATGGTGGTTGTCGTCGCCCACCTTCGTCTTCAGGGCATTCAGATTTTTCCGTACATAGACGACTGGTTAATGGTGGCAGATTCAAAGGACTGTCTCCTTCAGCACATCACCATTACACTGTCGACCCTATCCTCCCTTGGAATTCTAGTCAATTTGCAGAAATCCATGCTGCAACCTGCAACTCGCGTGCAGTTCATAGGAGCTGTCATAGATTCCCTGGCCACTCGGGCCTACCTTCCTCGCCAACGGGCAGATACCATTCGTCTGGAAATTCGACGTTTGTTCCGATCCAATGTGACATCAGCAGTCCACGTTCAGCGGATCCTGGGTCTCATGGCAGCCACCACCTCTGTGATCGAGTGTGCACGCCTTCGCATGCGTCCGTTGCAGCTTTGGTTTCTAAAGAAATTTCGCCCCTCCTTTCACCCCCCAAGTCTTCGACTAGTCGTGCCTCCTCAGGTCCTTACCTCCCTGCAGTGGTGGCTCGTGGACACCAATTTGCTGGCGGGTGCACCGTTCCAACCGATTGTTCCCGTGATGTCGATCACCACAGACGCCTCCCTGTGGGGTTGGGGTGCTCATACGGACGACACTTGTGTGGGTGCTCCATGGCAGCCCCTTTGGAAACGTCATCACATCAACTATCTGGAACTGCTGGCCGTAAAATTTGCCCTCAGATCCTTGCACAAACAGGTTGCAGGGAAAGCTGTGTTAATATTTACGGACAATACAACTGCAATGGCTTATATCAATCGCCAGGGCGGGACAGTGTCCAGATCCCTTTGCAGGCTAGCTATGGACATATGGGAAGAGTGCCTTCATCGGAATATCACTCTCCAAGCTGCCCATCTGCCAGGAACTTTGAACCAGCAAGCAGATTTCCTGAGCAGAGGAGGAGCATCGGACCACGATTGGGAGCTGAATTCAAAGTATCTCCTCCCTCTTTTTCAACGTCTGGGACATCCCCACATCGATGTTTTTGCAACTCGATTCAACAAGAAGTGTCCCATGTTTTGTTCCAGAGCGGGGTTGGACCCTCTGTCACTGGGGGACGGCCTGTTGATATCGTGGGCTCACAACTTTCTGTACCTATTTCCTCCGATTCCGCTGCTTCACAGGGTGTTGGTGAAAATACAACACGACAAGCCCCATTGTCTTCTAGTAGCCCCCTGGTGGCCTCG